ATGCTATGTGTTCCAGATGCCCAACATGGAACTACGGGACTTGTTTGCCCACCTGGATTTCAGTCTTGCTTTGGTCCTATCCCTTTTTTCTATGCTCCTATTTTTCTGAATGGAAATGTTTACTATGTACCTTTATATATTGGATGCATATAAATTGTTTTTGATTTTTAAAGGTGCTCACCCTGTGAGTTTGCCTTGAGTCTCAGTAGAGAATTTGGACTTGGACTTTTGGGTGATCTTGGAACTGTTGAGACTATGGGGACTCTTGGAAATGGACTAAATATATTTTGTATTGTAAGATGGGCATGAGCTTCTGCAGGACAGAAGAACTCATGTATGAGACAAGGCAAGAAAGTTCCAAGGTGAAGTGACTGGGTTTTGAGAGCCTTAACCTAATCAGTGCATTAATCCCCCTGATGGGGATTAACTGAGTGGTACCTGTAGGCAGGTGGTGTGTGGCTAGAGGAGGTAGGTGTTGGGGATGTGCCTTTGGGGTTCATATTTTCTCCCTGATGAGGGGAGTCTCTCTCTGCTTCCTGGTGCCAAGTCCTGAGCCACTTTTCCTCCACCACCCCCTTCCACCATGATGTCCTGCCTCACCTGGGCCCCAAGGAATGGATTTGGCCGTCTATGGACTGAGACCTCTGAAACTGTGATCCCCAACTAACTTCTCCTCCTGACTGTTCTTGTCAGATCTTTTAGTCATGACAGTGAAAACATGACTAAAATAATCCTCAACATCAAAAAGGGAAACAATTGATAGTAGTCAACATGGTATTTCTTATTTTAAATTAAACTCCCTAGTGTAGTATTTTTGGACACTTTCTTTATATTCCTTTTTTGTTTATCATCGTTAATCCTAAATCCTTACAAGTTATTTAGCCATTTTTTTTAGATATTGATGGACCTTTATTTTATTCATTAATTATATGTGGTGCTGAGAATCAAACCCAGTGCCTCACATATGCTAGGCAAGTCCTGTACCACTGAGCCACAACTCCAGCCCCAATTTGACCAATTTTAAAAAATATTTTTAGCTATACATGGACATAATATCTTTTATTTATTTACCTTTATATGATGCTGAGGATCAAACCCAGTGGTTCACATGTGCTAGGCAAGTGCTCTACCACTCAGCCACAGCCACAGCCACAGCCGTAACCAATTTGGTGGGTACTGGTGCTGTACCAGAACCCAGTGGTGCTTACCACTGAGCCACATTCCAGCCCTTTTTATTTTCTATTTTGAGACAAGGTCTCATTAAGTTGCTTAGGGCCTTGCCCAGTTGCTAAGGCTGGCTTTGAACTTGTGATCCTCTAGCCTTGGCCTTCTGAGTCTCTGGGGTTACAGGTATGGACCACTTGTCCTCCCTGCGAAAAGATTTTTAATACAACCTTTATTTAAATGAATTTAAATCTCAAATAAAACACAAGAAACACAGAATTCCATAAACAGACCTTGACACTTTCTACTTTGTCACCAATTCTATATGCTTGCCATTGTGCTTCATGGTATTACTAAATAAATATCCCAAAATGTGGTATATTGGAAACACTTGAAACAAATTAACAAAATGTTTTTATTTTTTTATTTTTTTAGTTGTAGTTGGACATAGTACCTTTATTTATTTTATGTGGTGCTGAGGATAGAACCCAGTCCTCACACATGGTAGGCAAGTGCTCTACCACTGAGCCACAACCCAAGCCCCTGTTTTTATTTTTATTGAAATAAATTTTACTGTAATTCATTTGGAAAATTGCCTTTTTCTGGATGAGTTTATTTTTTATAATCAAAGAATGAACTGAAAGCAGAAACAGGGCCGGGGATGTGGCTCAGTAGTAGAGTGCTTGTCTGGCTTGCATGAGTTTCTGGGTTCAATCCTCAGCACCAAAAAAAAAAAAAAAAAAAAAAAACAGAAACAAATACTAGATGATGTTGGTTTTTACTCAAGAACTAATAGTTTTAATTTTAGAAAAGTTCTATTGAAAAAGAGTGTTAGAAACTTAACTTTTAAGAGGCTTTGCACATGTCAGGTGCTGTCCCCAAGTACTTTAGCACATTCTCTAGGCACACACACACTAAGACCAGTCATGAACACGGAGCCGAGCCTCTCTTCTCCAGCCATCCGCATCAACACTTCCTAAGTCTGAGCCTGGGACCTCCAGTAAAGGCAGAAGGAAGGCCTCAGACTTCCTCCACAAGTGCAATAGGAGCACTTTTGCCAACATCTTGACAGAAAGGTCGCCTGCACTGGCATTAGCTTGTCATTTCACTTGTTTAGTGTGAGTTTGCTGCTTTGGGGGAATTGAAAAAAATGCTTTTTTTGTTCTTGATCATTATTTATAAAAAACATACAACAGCTAGTTGAATTTTAAGCCAAAAAGAAAAAGGCTGCCAATAGCCTGTGAAGTTTAGAGTACTGTTTTTCCAAAATACCAGTGCTGGGTAAGAACAGGAATCGAACTCAGGTGTTCGTCTCCTGAAACAGTGGAGAATGTACTCCTCCAAGAGCTTTTTCTGTCCCGGTTTGAACTCTTAGTCCTTTCCTTAATATCTGGAGTTAACTCTTCCTCTTACTCTGCCTATTGGTAAGTTTGCTAAGCAGATTAGTAAGAGTCTTGGAAATCATCCAGTACCTACAGAGATCCCACAGAACAGGGTTGTACTGGCCGTCAGCATCCCACCTCATTTTGAAGCACTAAGGACCATTTATGGTGGCCACTTGGCACCCCAGAACATTTCTGCACCTAGTATGATGTAGGAAGGGGCAGAAGAATCCATCAAAAATCAGAATTCTAGAGTATGCCATAAAGACTTTAGCCAGAGGAGATGGTCTCAGTCCTAAGGGGACCATGCGGAAGGCTGGGCTCATTGCTTAAAGGAGAGCCCTTGCCTAGCAGGATCCCCAGCATGCCCTCAGAAGAGGAGGGGAGAGAGTGCAGGAAGAAGGGCAGATTCAGAAGCCTTTTGGGAGTGAGAGACCTCTAGAGAGGCAGGGCTCTGGGCAGCATTCAGTTGCTAGCAGGGAAGGGGTCAGTCATGAGAAGAGTGAGAAAATGTTCCTTGTCTGAACTGTGTGGCATAGGTGACTGCATTTGCCAAAACTCATAGAACTGTAAATCTGAACAAAAATGAAGTCAGTGGAGGGGCACAGTTTGTCCTTTGATGCTGGTTATGTGAAGTTTGGAAGAGGATTAGTCTCCACTAGGTTCTGATTTCTTGCTTTTCTTTTTCTTTCTTTTCTTTTTTTTTTTTTTTTTTTTTGATATTAGGAATTGAACCCAGGGTTGCTTAACCACTGAGCCACATACCAGTTTTTTATTTTTTTACTTTGAGACAGGGTCTCACTAAGTTGCTTAGGGCCTTGCAAAGTTCTGAGGCTGGCTTTGAACTTGCAGTCCTCCTGCCTCAGCCTCCTGAACTACTGAGATCACAGGTGTAATGAATGTTCTGTGTGTCCAACTTCATGCACTTCCAGCTACCTATAGAGTGCAACTTCAAGTATAATTATTGGGTCAAAGGTTACATGGAGTTTCGGTTTCAATGTAAATAATTCACCCTGCACTTGAGGTTAGACAGATCTGTGTTCTCACTGGTGGGCCTGTGGAGTTAGACAAGCACTAGAAAATTCAAGATGAAAGTATAGTTTGTAGTTTAGCCAGATTTACTTGGATACTTACTCATTTATTTCTCGGGGTGCTGAGGATCAACCCCAGGGTCTCCTGCATGCTGAGTAGGCACTCTGCCACCGTAGACCCCCCGCCCAGCATTTCTACAGGTGCAGTTCTGTGGTGTGGATCAGGTTCAGTGTCTCACAGCCATGCCTGCCATTTCCTGGCCAGATGCCTTTATAAATGATGGTGAGACAAAACCTATTAAAACACAGTGTTGTCACTCTTGCCGTTCCTAAGCACACAGCCCTGTGGCCATAAGAGCATTCACACTGTAGACACATCACCACATCCATCCTCTGAATGCTTCCTCTTCCCACAGTGAAACTCTGTGTCCCTCCAGCAGTGACCCCGCCCTCCCCGCCCAGCACCACACTCCACTCATGTCTACAGACTGACTGCTCTAGGTTTCTTCATGTGTGTTCTATGTCAAAATGGCTTTGACAGCGCAGCTCACAATAGCCAAGTTATGGAACCAGCATAGGTGTCCGTCAGCAGGTGAATGGATAAACAAATTGTGGAATACATACACAGTGGAGTTTTACTCAGCCATAAAGAAGAATGAAGTCATGCCATTTAGGAAGATGGATGGACCTTGAGAGTATTACATTAAGTGAAGTAAGCCACAGTCAGATAGTCAAGATTCATATGTTTTCTCTCATACATGGAAGCTAGAGACAAAAGGAAAAAACATAGAGGGGATTTATCTGGTGAAATTAGAAAAGAGACAAGTAGGATGAAGGAAGTGGACCGGAGCCGGTACTGGGGAATGTGATTGACCAAGATTATTTTGTGTGCATGTGCAAATATATCACAATGTATCTGTTAGGTATAATTATAATGCATTAATTAAAATGATCTGGGCATGGTGGTAAATGCCTGTAATCCTGGCAACTCAGGAGGCTGAGGCAGGAGGATGTCAAATTTGAGGTCAGTCTGAGCAACATAGTGAAACCCTTAGCAACTTAGCAAGAGCCTGTCTCAAAATAAATAAAAAGAGCTAGTGATGTGGCTCAGTGGTAAAGTGCCCCTACATTCAATCCCTGGTACCAAAAAAACAAGTAAATAATAAAAAGAAAATTGCTTTGGAGGAGAGGGAATTGTGAAGCACAGAGTGCTAAGTAAACATGGGAACTGTTTGGAGTATGGGGAGTTACCTCTGCATGTCTCTCCTCACTCAGTGTGCGATGGCAAGCTGGAGAGCACAAGTTCTATGGCACCTGCATTCAGTGCCTGTGCCTGGAAGCCATCCTAGGCAAAGCTACCTGAAGACACTGAGGTCTTCATACTTCCAATTAGACTCAGATGGGTGCGTTTTTTGTTCCACAGGAAATTGACCTCTTCTAACAACAGACCTCGAGAAGACAGTTGGTTGAAATCCTTGTTTGTACGGAAGGTTGACCCGAGAAAAGATGCTCACTCTAACCTCCTGGCCAAAAAGGAAACCAGCAGCCTGTACAAACTACAGTGTGAGTGGCAGTTTCGCTGTCTCCACAGCTGACTTTTGTTTGTATGTGTATGTTTGTTTGTTCGTAAGTTTATCACTGATTTTCTTTTGTTTCAGTTCACAACGTTAAGCCAGAATGCCTAGAAGCGTACAACAAGATTTGGTGTGTATCTCAAACTCTTCCTTGGGGGAAAGTAGTGATATAGATGTTTGTTGTTCAGCTAGCACGTGGTATCTGAGAGATGGGCTCATCCTCATACAGCTGAATGTGGAGAGGGTCTTACACCAGGTTTTGTGGGATGGCCAGTGGCATTTTATTTTAAACACATACAGCTAAACCCTCTCATACAGCTTCCATGTATGAGAGAAAACATATGAATCTTGACTATCTGACTGTGGCTTACTTCACTTAATGTTGTTAGAAGAGGTCACCCTCATCACTTAGACTTCAGAATGCGGTGGAACCAAGGTTGAAGGAAGCCTTGCAGGGTCCATCTGCTCATCCCACACTCAAGTTTCGGCAGACCCTCCTGATGCCCAGATGCAGTCAGCCCATCTGCAGCTCTGGGTGCCAGAATTAGAGCTCGTCCCTTCGACCCTGCTGTCTTTAGTCTTCCTCTTGAGGAAATTACAGCTGCCATTTCCTGCAGCTGTTCCCTCTCCAGAACCCAAGTCCCCTGCTGAGTATCCTAGGATGTGGAGCCACACCCTCTGAGGCCATTTGTACACCTTGAGATGAAGGGAATTAGCTCAGCACTTCTTTTTAATTTTTTAATATATATATATATATATATATATATATATATATATATATATATATATATTTTNTAATTTTTTAATATATATATATATATATATATATATATATATATATATATATATATATATTTTCTAGTTTGTTATACATGACAGCAGAATGCATTTCAATTCATAGTACACATATAGAGCACAATTTTTCATGTCTCTGGTTGTACACAGTCACACCACTCATGTCTTCATACAAGTACTTGGGGTAATGACGGTAATTCCACTGTCTTTCCCTCCCCCTGCCCCATCCCTACCCTTCCCTCCCCTTTACCCTATCTAAAGTTCCTCCATTCCTCCTATTCTCCCCCTCACCTGCATTATGGATCAGTATCCTCATATCAGAGAAAACATTCAGCATTTGTTTTTTTTTGGGGGGGGGATTGGCTTACTTCACTCACTTAGCATAATATTCTCCAACTCCATCAATTTACCTGCAAATGCCATGATTTTATTCTCTTTTAATGCAGAGTAATATTTCACTGTGTATATATACCACAGTTTCTTTATCCATTCATCTATTGAAGAGCATCTAAGTTGTTCACAATTTTAGCTTAGCACTTCTTAACAACAGATAATGCTTTAATGCTCAGTTCTTTTTAAAATATTTTTTAATTGTTGATGGACCTTAATTTTATTTWTTTGTATRTGGTACTGAGACTTGAACCCAATGCCTCATGTATGCTAGGTAAGCATGGCTACCACTACACCACAACTCCAGCCCCTTTAATGCTCAGTTCTGAGCAAATGTAATGAAAAAGTGTTTTTATGACCTTTACTATCTGTTATTTTCAAGAGAAAGTAACTGATTTTATCTATAGAATCAGCAAAATTTTCAGGAGCAAAACCCCCTGTTTTGTTGGTTTATTTCTGGAGGTATTTAGAATTTACTCCACACCTCAGCTCATTTCTCTTTGTTTGAAAAGACCTCTAATGAAGTAGGTGTGTATATACAAGTCTTTTCTCCTGAAGTGAAATGGTCTCTTGTGCTGGGTTCCTGACTCTCTTCCTGTCTCTGATGGCTTCATCTTCACCTCTATCTCTGGCCCTCTGGCCCCTGTTCCTATTAGTATTTGAAGGCCTCCTCTCAGTCCTCAGGCTCAGCTGGGAGGCACCCAGCTGTTCTAGCATCTCTGCATGGCCATGTCTGACAGGCTCTCTGCACCTCTGTGTGGTCAGCCAGCCCCTGAGGCTCTGCTTCCCCACCTGACCTGATTGAGCCCTCCGCTAGTTTCCACTCCTCCCCACCTGCAGGTAGCCTCCCCTCCTCCTCCAGCCTCCCCTCCCGCAGGTAGCCTCAGGTAGCCTCCTCTCCTCCTCCAGCCTCCCCTCCAACAGGTAGCCTCCCCTCCTGCAGGTAGTCTCCCCTCCTCCAGGTAGCCTCCCCTCCTCCAGATAGCTGCCCCTCTGGGCCTAAAGCTATACCTGGCTCCACCCATCCTTCAGTTCCTTGCCCAAAATGTGTCAGACAGATTTGCTTGATTTCTCTCTTCTCCTCATCAAGTTCTTTTTTCTTTTCTCTGAAACATTGAGCCTCTCTCTGTTTCCAGAAAATAAAGACTTAACTTCTGTTGGTTTTTTTGGGGCCCTATAGTGAGATTTTGCTCAGCCCACCCTGTTCTGGGTACAAGCACTGCTTGCTTTACACCCTCTATTCAGGTAAGGCCAAGGCTTGTAGGAGCAGATGGAGCCCCCAGAATAGAGGATTGACTCTGCTGCACATGGGCCTCTGTCCTGTCAAAACCCGGCACCCCCAGGGCCTGTGCCTTCCTCAACCACACCTGTGTTGTCTGTGTTGACTTCTTCCTTCATGGTTCTACTTCTGGCTTGTGCCATATGACAAAAAGGAAACCCCTTTTCATTTTCCTAACTTAATCTGTCTCTTCCCACCCCTGATTTTCATCAGACCCATTATTTCTGAACATTCATGGTTATTGCATCAGATACATTTAATATGAGATCTTAATTTAAAAAATAAATACCATCCTTAAAAGAACACATGATGTGCTGTGGTGGTGCACACCTGCGATCCCAGCCATTCAGGAGGCTGAGGCAGGAGGAGCTCAGGTCCAAGGTCAGCCTGAGCAGCTTAGTGATACTTTCTCTCAAAATAAAAAGCGGGGTGCAGCTCAGTGGTAGAGTGCTTGTCCTGCATGCCTGTGGTGCTGGGGATTGAACCAGAAAAAAAGTAATAATAACAACACAAGGTGTGCTACTGTAGACGACCACAGCAACACAGCTGTTCATCCATACGTGCCTTGTCCTGGTGCCCAGGGTCTGCAGCTGGTCATTAGCTTCATGAGGTTAACAAAAGACATGAACAGGTTCCATTTCCCACCAGGTCCGCCTTCTGCATCCATCATTTTCCACCATCATTTTCCTGTTCGCTTGTGCAGGTTTGAGCTCTCCCTTTCCTTTGGCTTCACCCTGTTCTAAACCCTGTGGGAAGCTCTCTCTCTGTGCGTAAGCCCTGGCCGCTGCGCAGGCTCTGCTGCGTCCTTGCCCCATCACGGCAGGAAACTACTTGCCGTGCTCCTGCATGAGACATCTGGGTGCCTCTGGAGACCCCGCAGCACCTCGGCCTACTCACGCTATCTTTAATTTTGATTCCTCACGCTGGTGGTGCCTTTGGGACTGTGGGGTCTGGGCTGCTTCCAGGCCCTGGCCCTGCACTCCTGCGTCCTCTTCAGGGCCACTGTTCCCCGTCCTGCTATGGCTGCCTGCAGGCGCTGCTTTTGTCATCTGCCTCCACCTCAAACATTACTAACTTCCCTTTCCTTTTGCTTCCTGGTTCCTTTCTGCTATTCCCATGACTCTCCTCTCATTCTTCTTAACTTTGGAACAGAACTTATCTTTTATAAATGTCACATTCCTAAATAATAAGTAGTTCTTCTCTTTTTCCCCCTCCTTTACCTAAATAGCTCCTGGAACCCTGGGACCTTGGCTCTTCCCTACCACAGTGATCACTGCACTTGACTTACYCACACCTCTAGGTTGTTGGGGTGGAAACCTAACATCGAGGAATAGGGTGTCAGAGTAAGCAAAATTCAGCTGAGAGGTGGCTTCATGCATCCTCTCATCATAGCCTGTTCTGAGCTCTGTGGCCAGACATGGATAGGCGACCTTCTTTGTGTTACTTTGTGTGGCCCACTGGGATGTTCCACGGCTGTTGAATCACTGTTGCTGTTTCTTCTCTTTAAGCCAAGAGGTGTTACCAAAGATTCACGAAGATGCACACTACCCCTGCACGCTGGTGGGCACCTGGAACACGTGGTACGGGGAGCAGGATCAAGCTGGTATGAAGCCAGAAACTGGCTCACTCTCCACCCTTAGCCTTTCTGGGTCTCTTAGGCAATTTTCTGATTTAATGCTTGTTTTATATATACCCAAAACTTTCTAAGACTTAGTCTGGTTCCACTGTTAAAGTAGTTTCTTCTGTAATTCACTGTAAAAACTAATTATCATGTTGTTTTTAATGTTTGGATACCGGGAAGCTTTGTCATGTCACTGAGGCCAGTGGCAGCTAGAGTCGTAATGGCTGACGCTGCTCTCTAGGTGTGTTCAGGTGCCTGCTCTCAGTGTGTGCTCTCTTTTCCATGCGTTTCAGTCCATCTCTGGAGGTACGAAGGTGGCTACCCAGCCCTCACGGAGGTCATGAACAAACTCAGAGAAAATCAGGTAACTGCTTAGAAATGGGTTCTTACTCAGCCTAGTGATCCAGTAGATGTCAGTGCAGAACCAAATGGTTCTTCTGTCATCAGTCTCTGTTAGTAAACTGCTCAGCTTTTTAGTAGAAATTTTGTCCTTTGGACTCTTGAGTTGTATTTAGACACAGTGATCATGTAGTGCTGTTGACACACAGTTCAGTTGTAAAAATCAGCATGGCGGGCACAGTCAACCTTGCCACCTCTAGTGTCTGCTCCAGTGCTGCGACCATATGTGTCTTCCCCTGTTGGCCTGCTGCCCTGCCTGACCTTCACTAGCAGGTGCGTGTCGGCAGAGGTTGACAGCCACACATCATAGGTCCCCAGACAATTGTAAACGCCTCTGAGCCATCTGCTGTTTGTAGTCACCATGTTGTCCCCATCATAGACCATCACACACTGCTTAGGAAGTCTACAGACACAGAAAGCGAAACTTGTCTCCTTGATGGCCTAAGTAATCAGGGAGCCAGCATAGCTCCTCATCCACCCTGGAGCTGTAGGGAAAGGAGCCAGCAGCCATTCCCTAATCATGCAGTAGATGATGGAGTTGTCTCTGGCCAACTGCAATCTGCCCATCACCCCACCTGCACCCGCGTTCTATGGGAATGAATGGTTATCAGAGTAGGTCCTAGAGAGTGTCTATACATGGGGCTGCAACACTTCATGAGCACGTTTCCTCCCCAAAGGAATTCGTGAGCTTCCGGAAGGCGAGGAGTAACATGCTTCTCTCCAGAAAGAACCAGCTGCTGCTGGAGTTCAGCTTCTGGAACGAGCCCATCCCGAGGTCGGGGCCTAACATCTATGAGCTCAGGTCCTACCAGCTCCGGGTGAGTCCCATGGTCCGGTCCGGACCTGACATCCATGAGCTCAGGCCCTACCAGCTCTGGGTGAGTCCCACGGCCTGGACCCGACATCCATGAGCTTGGGTCCTACCAGCTCCAGATGAGTCCCGCGGTCCAGACCTGACATCCATGAGCTTGTGTCCTTCCAGCGCTGGGTGAGTCCCACGATGCAGACCCACATCCATGAGCTTGGGTCCTACCAGCGCTGGGTGAGTCCCAAGGTCCAGACCCATGAGCTCAGGCCCTACCAGCTCAGGGTGAGTCCACATGCTGTCAGACCTTGTTCAGTGAAGGAAGAGCGAGCTTAGGGGCAGGTTGTGCCAGATGTGCTGGTTCTCCTGTCAGTCCTTCTCCACTTCCTCTCCCTCACGCCTCGCTAAGCTCTTTTCTCTGTGATCTTCTACACATTTATTATTTGATTTTTTTCTAAATTGACACTTTTATCTTTTGAGTAGAAAGATCTCAAGTTCCGAACTAGGTATAATATATGGCATCTACTATAGTTGATTTAGAGCAACTAATGAACATTAATTAGCCAGGCGCAGTGGCACATTCCTGTAATCCCAGTGACTAGGGAGACTGAGGCAGGAGGATGGTGAGTTCAAAGCCAACCTCAGCATAAGCAAGGCACTAAGCAACTCAGTAAGACCCTGTCTCTAAATAAAACACAAAATAGGGCTGGGGGTGTTGGTGTGGCTTAGTGGGTAAGTGCCCTTGAGTTCAATCCCCAGTATTCCCTGCCAAAAAAAAAAAAAAAAAAAAATTAACCATTGTGGCTATTGAGCAAATTATTCAGCATGTAAAAGTAAAAGGAATTGTGTATGTGGAGGGGAATGGTGCTGGGGACTCGCCAGGGCCTCACGATGCTGGTAGGTGTTCGCCCCTGAGCCACACCCCACCTGGGAATCACCTTTTGTGGTACTTTGTAGTTGTTCCCCAACCACTAGAACGTGAGCCTCAGACAGCAGAATTGACTTTCTGTTGACAAATAATGATTGTGTGTTCCATGGAGAAGATGGTTGGTTGTGCCTGTGATAAAACAGAACATCTCAGCAGCCCTCAGCTTCTAATGATCACCTCTGAATTAGAGGAGGTGATTGGTAACCTTCGGTGCATCTGCAGAATGGGCTCACTGTGTCCCTGATGATGGACATGGATGCCTTGCTCTGATGTGTATGTGATGTCTGCCTGCATGAAGCTGTTGAGTGCTGCTCTTGCTGTGGGGCAGGCACGTGGTGAACAAGCATGTTTGCACTCCTATTTCTTTTTTTTTTTTCACAGAAAAACTAACAAACCAAAATCTAAATCTCTTTTCAGCCAGGAACCATGATCGAATGGGGCAATTACTGGTGAGTATATTATCAATATTGAGTTTGTAAGTCATATTAGTCTTATTAATAGGTTTTTTTAGCCCATAGTGTTAATACTAAGAAATACATCTGAGACTAATTCCATAACTTGACTCTAGACTTTTAAAAATGGCAGGGGGGAGGGGAGGGAAGCACAGGATCTTGCTGTGTTGTGAGGCTGCTCTCAAACTTTGACCCAAGCAGTGCTCCTGCCTCTGCCACCCAGGCAGTAGGGATCACAGGCATGTACCTTGCACCCAGCTTAGACTCTTGTTTTGTTTTATGTTTTTGTTATGAAATTTTCAAAACATATACAAAACTAGAGAGAATAATACCATGGATCCCCCTTTCCACAACTATACTAAGCCTCAAAAATCATCTACCTATGGCCAATCTTGTTTAGACCTGACTCCTCCAGTCCAGACTATTTGAAATTACCCACATGGCCTCAAACTTGTGATCCTCCTGTCTCAGCTTCCCAAGTCTCTGGAATTACAGGCATGAGCCACCATGCCCAGCAAGATTCTTAATTTTTTAAAAAATATTTTTTAGTTGTTGATGGACCTTTATTTTATTTATTTGTATGTGGTGCTGAGAATTGAACCCAGTGCCTCACGCATGCTATGCAAGCGCTCTACCACAGAGCTACAACCCCATCCCCAAGATTCTTAATTTTTAAAATAAAAATATTGGTGAGGTTAGTCCATGTACAAAAAGTTCAGTCAGGGTTGGTAGCCACGCTTGTAATCTTAGTGACTTGGGAGACTGAGGCAGGAGGATCAAAAGTTAGAGGCCAGTCTCAGAATTTAGCAAGACCATGTCTCAAAATAAAAAGTAAAAAGGGCTAAGGATGTGGCTCAATGGCACATGACCTCTGGGTTTAATCGCCAATACAAAAAAAAAAAAAAGAATACAGATAACCCAATTAAAAATTGAGTAAGGGGCTTGAGCAGGTGATTCTCCAAGAAAGATACAGAGATTTGGCTTGGTTTGGTTTTTTATCAGAGCTGGGGATTGAATCCATGGTCTTGTACCTACCAGGCACAAAAAGATATAGAAATGACTAATAGCATATAAAAAGATGCTCAACATCAGTAACACAAGAAAAATACAAACCAAAACTAGAAGGGGTATCACACAACACCCATTAGGATGGCCACTGTCAATAGAGCAGAAAGTAGCACGTGCGTAGGGACTTGCTAATTTGCTGAGGCTGGCCTGCGATCTGCCTCAGCCTCCAAGTACCTGGATTCCAGGCATGCGCCACCTTGCCTACTGTACCGCTCCATTCATGAAGTTTCCAAAGAGCCAGCTCTGTGCAAACATAGGGTGGACTAATGGGTCCTTGCTACATGGGAGTGGACATGAGTGCAAATGGGCATGAGGGGGCTTCAGCACAGCTGGACTGTGATCACAGCACCAGCCTGTGGATCTACTGAGAACCACAGAATTGTACACCAGTGAATTTCTTGACATGTAAAATATAATCCAACACACTTCGTTTAGTGTAATTTAGCCTCAGATCCAAGGATGATTCTGAATCAAGAAAGTGAGGCATATACAACCAAGACTCGAGTAGGTATCCCTACACACGCTCCTGGAGGTGCCCCACACAGCTGCTGTGCCATGTCTCTGCCAGGGGCCATTTGCAACTCTCTTCCACGCTTGGCATGTCTTCGGTGGTCAGTGAATATTGAGTGGGTGGACATGTGGGCAGCAGAAGCTGTGGTTACATAAGAAATAGATCCACGATACTTGCCCAAGTTGTAAACCACCTGGAAGCCGTGGAGAGAGAGACCACAGTGTAGTCATGCATGGAACTTTTACAAAGTGGTTTAAATAAGCCAGATCTGCACTGATAGCACAAGAGAATCTTGAGAACGCCACGCTGAGGATGGAAAACTAAAAAGAGTACCTGAGGCTGATGGCTCTGTCTGCCTGCACCAGCCACCTTATAGCCGCCATGTCATTATCTTCTCACAGAAGAGGCTGAGCAGTGCTTGGGAGAATCCCAGGGTAGAAGCAACGTGGCGGTGCTGGTCCTCGTGGATGCTCTTTAAGCCTGAATCTGTGGCTATTACTTACTTTCAATTTGTATTGAAGCATTCCTGTTTCAATTATGAAGTTTCTCACTTTGTGTTACATCAGAACAGATCTCTTTGGCCCTGGCACGTGGTCCTGAGATTTCTATTTCTAACAGCTCTTTCCTCGGATGTCAAGCTCAGTAACACCAGCCACAAGATCTTTAGTCTGAGGCCAAGACATCCTCTTGATGGTGCGCTGCTATGCACACTAGTCCATTGGGGGATTCTCCTTTGTTCTTGTGCTTCTTGGTTTTGGCCTGTAACTGTAATAACTTAGATGTTCAATTTAATTTGTGCATATTACTAATTAAGATTTGATAAGGAATCCACAAGGATGTAATGAGGTTATTCAGTTCCTTATAAAAATTTTCATGTCCCAGTTCAACCCTGAATTTGTATTCTGGCACATAGGTGACTATTGAGACGGTGGTTTCCTCTCAGTGCATGCTCTGGTCATTAGCAGGCTGAGGCAGGTATGTTTCCTTTGTCTTCCATGAATGAACTAGAAGAATTCAGAATGAAAAGAATAATCCGGAATACTTTATCACTCAATAAAATAGATTTTTCCTTCTGAGCAGACTTAGAATGCACATTAAATTAATTTGCTTAATTTCAATAATTTACCAATCTGATGTGTAATTTTCATGAAGTTATTGATCACTTACTTACAAATGTAAAGGTAAAAGAATCTAATACTGTCATGGCCAACTTGTGGGGGCTCTACCACAGGAAGCCGAGAACTTGGGCCTGGCCAGGTGCTGGTGTCCCCAAGTGGAGGAAGAGAATATGTGTGCAGAGTGGTCCCAGGCAGACTGGCATCCTCACTCCCAGGTTGTTCCTGTGCAGACTTCACACCCTGTGAGATGGCATGATTCAGCTCCTGTAGGAGGATGAGCTGGCCAGCCAGCCTCAGAGTCTCAGTATCCCCCGGGGTTACGCCTGCCCCACAGGTGTTGGTAGGTGGTGTCATTGGCCATGTGCCTCCAGCCCGTTGAAGACAAGTTATGCTGAGTGCCTTCCCTAGTCCTGTTGACTCAGGGTGTGCTGGCTGCAGGCCTGAGCCTGGGCAGCACTGGCACCAGTGTCCTGGGTGATACCTGGAGGGAGGGCTCTGAAAGCTCTGGCTTTACTTCTGGTGGCATCCCTACATCTGCAGCCCCTGACTTCATTTTCACTTTCAATTCTAAAAACAGGTACCCAATACAAGTATGAAAGAAGGTGCCCAAATTGGAGAACTGATGACCTTTGGCAGCAAAATTTTAAACAACTTTTTTTTTTTTTAACTAAGGATTGAACCCAGGGGCGCTTAGCCACTGAGCCACATCCCCAGCCCCTTTTAAAATATTTTATTTAGAGACAGGGTCACATTTAGTTCCTTATAGCCTCACTAAGTTGCTGAGGCTGGCTTTGAACTTGTGATCTTCCTGCCTCAGCCTCCCAAGCCACTGGGATTACAGGTGTGTGCCACCATGCCCAGTGATTTTAAACAATCTTTAGCCACTTCAATCACACTTTGGTGTTGTGTGCAGATGAACTTTCTTGCATATACAGTACATGTTGAGTGCCTCTTAGTATCCATTTTCCGATGGATTGCTCTGATTAGAAAGGGAACCATCGGTAACTTTGCTGGTGACAGTGATGGTCTGATGGCGCCTGCCCAGAAGCTGCTGTCTGTTCTCCCACTGCTTTACGGGAAGCTGCAGACCCTCTCAGTGCCATGCTTCTCAGGAGCTGCCCTCTGGCTGCTGTGAAAGTGTGATGCTCTCCTCTGTACTTGGCCCCATCCTCCAGGGTGGGCTTTGTCTCCTATGGGGGAAATTCCCTCTGGAGTCCTGGTGTTTAGTGCCCCACTTTCTCCTAAAGAGTGTCCTTGGAGAAGCAATTATTTCTAAGTTGCCAKGTCATCTCTGCCAGTTTTCTTATATCAGGAATTCTGGCAGCCACATATGTACCTGATGTCACTGTTCATCTGAATAGTCATGAAATCCTTTTCACTTCTCAAAAATGATGCAGCTACAGAGAGGTGTATTTGTCTTTCACGTGCACTAAAGTGACTTCTGATTGTGTTTAATAGTCTGGTAGCCATTTGATGACTTTAAGAGCAGCTGTCTTTGTTCTAAACAACTGGCCTGCATGTGGGAGGGGTAGCCTACTGACTCCCTCTAACCCTGCCTACTTTTCTCTTCTAGGGCTCGGGCCATCCGTTTTAGACAGGACAGTAACGAGGCAGTAGGTGGGTTCTTCTCGCAGATTGGAGAGCTGTACATGGTGCACCACCTTTGGGGTAGGTACGCCCCCTCTGCTCTGAGGGGCTGGAACTTAGGTGCCCATTCCTAATCAGGTCGTGTTGGGTGATGGTGCAGATCAGTAGCCATGAGCACCATGGCACATCCCCAACCTCAGACCTCAGACTGCCAAGCGCAGGCCTGTCCCAACACACAGAGGCAAAGGCCAATTGTCTACTGGAGACCAGGGGGCCCAGCGAAGGGACAGAGGGGTGGTGAGGAGTGGCTCACAAGCCCTGGGGCTGCACCCTCTTCACCTTCTGCACCCTCCTAACCCCAGCCCAGAGCCTCCCCACACTCTCTCCCACTTCCTGTGTTTAGGGAGTGCCCTGTCCCAGTACCTTCCTCCCTCTCCCTCTCTGCCCTACCCACCAACTTCTGTTTGGCACCTCCTTTGGTGTCCTCAAGGCCTGATTCAGATGTTACTCACCCCTGGGAATGAGTGTCACTGCCCCCCACACCACAGGAGTGAGTGTCACCATCCCCCTGGGCCCCCAAGCCCCGTGTGATGCTGGCTGATGCTCTGGTGGCTTTGCGCCTCCCTCCCAGTTAGAGTAGGATCCAGGGCTCAGCGTGAGGCTGGACATGCCTCTGGACATGGTCAAGAGGCCCCCAAGGAAAAGGATCACTCATGGTCAGGCTGGGTTAGTCAACGGAGAGGGGCTGGGTAGTTTGCCTGATTGGGTTCCACAGGTCTCAGGAGCCTGTCTGCCTGCTGTGTCAGTGTTCAGGGTTTAGAGACTCGGCCAGCAGGTCTCTGAGGCATAAAACAACAGTGCTGCGACCTGGGGTGTGCATGGTCCACTTCCTGGGGAGGTGATCAGGATGCTCTAGAGGCCTAAAGAGGACTTAAAGTGAGAGGTATTTGGGGAAATCCTAAGAGGCAAGAGGTGAACAGGACCTCAGGATCCAGGTGGAATTGACAAGCAAAGGTGGGAAGAGGGGCTGAATGGGGAGGAAATAGAGTCCTCAGAGAGCCACACAGTGCATACCGACTGCCTGGAAGCCAGCTGCTGGGAAGCCAGGTCTGAGAGGGTCAGTTGTGCCCCTGGTGCCTGCCCCCACAGATGCCCTGCAGTCTGAGGGAGCTCTCCCACCTCACCCCCAGACACCCTGCGCAGCCCAGATGCCACTCACCTCAGCCCATGCACGGGATGTCCCTGTAGTGAAGGGGGCTGAAATCCTACACCAAGTGACAGGTGCCATGTGCCCTTCAGCTGTGTGGAGCACGGAGGGCAGCACAGCTGCCCAGAGCTCAGTTCTCTCCAGCCCAGTTTCCACCCCAGGAGTGTCGGTTTTCCAATGCAGTAGGTTAAAAACATCTTTTCACTGCGTTCTGCCTTTGGCCTTCTGAGTTTAAAGTACACGTAATTTAACCTTTAGGGCCTAATTTGAAGTGAGTGTGGAGTCATTTTTATTATTTCCAAACTGGCATCTGTCCAGTGGATACAAACTGAAAAGTCAGGCCTGCCCCACACCTCTCTGTTGTCTCTGCCTAAAGAGGCATCCAGGTGGGCCAGGGACACACTGAGGAGGACCTCTGTCACGCCATGATTCACCTGTCGAGTGGGGTCAAGCCAGGAGCACATCCCTTCTCAGCACATGTCACCCGCCACCCACCTGGTCTGAATGGGACTCCCTGGTGAAGAGCTGGGGCTGCGACAGGCAGGTGCAGCGGAGCCTGGCAGGCCCTCACTGCCTCCAGGCCCCTGGAGCAGCAGGTGCTCCCTGTGCAGAGGCCCAGGCCCCTTCTTTGCCTTCCTCCCATGCCAAAGTATCCACCTTTGCCCCAGTCTTCATCCCCCATACCCCTGCCTAGTCCCCTATGAGAGGGGACCTGGGGTGTGCAGATGTGCTCTCTCCATGGCCTGCCCCACAGTGCCATGTTTCTGGAGCAAGACAGCCCGCATTCATCAGGCCTCCCCAACCTGCAGGCCACTCTGCTATTGAACACATCATCCCTTTTTTCCTAACCCTGTGGCTCAAAGCTGGCAAACAGGTGCTCAGACCACACAGTTGAGTGGCCCAGCCAGGCTCCGGCTCAGCACTCCTGGCTGTCAGAGTCTCTCCTTCTCTTACCCCTGTAGGACTATCCCTCTCCCCCCTCTTCAGTCTCCTCCACCCACCACCCCACCATGCCCCCCTTCCAGTGTGGTGTTGTGCTCAAGGCCACCTTTGAAAGTCATCCCACAGCTGGGTGTGACGGCCACACTTGTAATCCCAGCAGCTCAGGAGGCTGAAGCAAGAGGATTGCAAGTTCAAAGCCAGCCTCAGAAACTTAGTGAGACCCTCAACAACTTAGTGAGACTCTGTGTCAGAATAAAATATAAAAAAAGGACTGGGGAGGGCTGGGGTTGTGGCCTAGTGGTAGAACACTTGCCTTGCATGTGTGAGGCACTAGGTTTGATTCTCAGCACCACATATAAATAAATGAATAAAATAAAGGTCCATCAACTATATATATATATATATATATATATATATATATATATATATATATATATATGGAAAGAGAAAGAATTGCTTTTAAAAAAAAGGTTAGGGATATGGCTCAGTGGTTGAACAATTCTGGGTTTGAGCCCTGGGACAAAAAAAAAAAGAAAGAAAGAAAGAAAGAGATAAAAATGGTAGCCACCCCCCAAAGAAGAGAAAGGCAGAGAATGGATAAGTAAATATGGAATATACATAGAATTCAGCATCATTCAGCCGTAGAACAGGATAAAGTTCTGATCATTGTCAGACACAGACGAGCCTTGCGACATCAGGCTAAGTGAGGTGGTAGAGAAGGGCTCCTGCTGTGTGCTCCCCCTGGGTGTGGCACACAGTGTCCAGAGAGCAGCAGGCTGGTGGCTACTGGGCAACAGGCAGGAGCTGCAGGGAGACACGGGTGGGAAGGCTGTGTGGACGGCAGTTCTGAGGATGTGCGTCCGTGGGAGTTCCCACCAGAACTCTGCACTTGCTGGCCACAGTGGTCAGTGCTGTGTAGGCTTATTTTACCACACTGAAAATGCAGCTGAAATTGTGGAAGCACCCCCAGGCTGTGAGTCCTGGGGGAAACCCTGTATCCACATGGTGAGCTGACAGGCCTTCTCCCAGCCAGGAGGCTCTGCAGTTCTGTTGAGAAYTCGAAGGAAGGAAGAGCCCGGGAGTCCTTCAGCCTCAAGCAACCCCGTGTGAAGATGCCCATGGGTACTTACCAGCAAGCAGTGCAAGTAGTGGGAAGTCCTTGCCAGGGACTCAGGGGTCAGCCCGGCAGGCTGCTGTGGACCTTTGGACCCCTCCAGGCAGCTCTCCAGGAGTGCTCCTAGGTGCCCTGCACTCGCTGGGCTGCCTGGCCTCCACCTCTCTGTGCTGCACTCAGGGTCTCTCACCTAAAGTGGAGTTTGTTTTGTTTGTTTCTGTGGTCCTGGGACCTTACCTGGTCTCAGGAGCTGGGCAGGTGCTCCCCCCAAGAGGCCCCAGAACCTCTGCGCTCGAAGTGGCTGTTGTCTGTGGTCCAAGGTGCCCAGACGTGTGTGGAGTGGCCCTGCCTCAGGAGGCTGCCAGGGCTCAGGGCAGGTTGCTTTGCTTCTCCCACCAGGCCCAGACTATGTTTTCTCAGGTTAACATGCAGTTTTCCCAGCTGGGTACTAAGTGCCCATGGAAAAAAAACCCGTGACCTGTCGAATAGTGACCGCTGCAATACAGGGCCTGATGTCGAAGTCTTGCTTTTTCTGTGTGATTATTTTCAAGCTTACAAGGATCTTCAGACCAGGGAAGATATACGGAACGCGGCCTGGCACAAACACGGCTGGGAAGAACTGGTGTACTACACAGGTAACACTTGGAGGCACATGAAGCAGACCCTGCATGAATGTGCATGTCTGGTTGTCACAGTGCTGGGGATTGGACCCGGGCCTCCTTGGTGCTAGGCAAGCACTCTCCTGCTGAGCTGCGTCCCAGCCCCACCCAGGTAGTATTCTAACAGTCCTCAAGGATTTGATTCTTTGTATCTTGCGTCTCCAGCTATGTTCTTTCACCCTGAAGCTAATGTGTATTCTGTAAAAACAGGGTGGAAAGAGTGGAGGTGTAGATAGAGTGGAGGTGTAGATATTTTCTGTAACACTTACTTGACTTTGTTTTTGTAAAGAAGAACATTGATTCTTTCACATATGTATACTGCTTGGGACAGTTTTCAGACCCTTGGATGTTGTGAATTTTATAATATTACTTCTTTTGGGGGTTTTGTTTGTTTTGTAGATTTCTAGATTCTTTGAAAATTTATTACACAAATTTTTTAAACTTTCTTTTTCTCATCAAGATTGTCAGTTCCAAAAAATGTAACCATAGTAGGTCAATTGAGAAGAGTAATTTTGCCAGGCAAACCATGGCTCAAGTCTATAATTCCAGCCACTTGAGAGACTAAGGCAGGAGGATCCCAAGTTTAAGGCCAGCCTCAGCAACTTAGCAAGGCCCTAAGCAACTTAGTGAGATTCTGTGTCAGAATAAAAAAATAAAAAGGACTGAGGATGTGGCTCATTGGTTAAGCACCCCTGGGTTCAATCCTTGTACCAAAAAAAAAAAAGAAAAGAAATTAAGTTTGGTAAATCAGTTTGGTAAAACACATATGCATGCACACATATACATACATGTATACATACACATATACACACATAAATCATGAATACACCCCAGTGATGCCAACAAACCCCCTGAATACCAACCATGTTGTATGTCAGGTATTTTTAAGCCCATATATTACCAAGAAAATGCAAGAGTAATTTATTCAGGGAAGTAAGTATCACCTTGTCTTTTAGTTTAAAGATCGTGATTCTGGCTACTCTTACCCCCTCCATCAGCTCCCAAAGCTGTGTTTGCCTCGCAGGGCAGTTTTACAAGTACTATCTATCTATCTATCTATCTCTCTCTCTCTCTCTCTCTCTCTCTCTCTCTCTCTCCAGAATATATGCAAATATAGTATTGTTTGATTTTATATAATTTTATTTTAATTAAAAGAACCTTTTGAGAAATCACCTTTTTTTTTTTTTGTCACAATATGGACTTTCCTACTTTCCCACACATGAAACACATTTCCAGGTAGGATCTTGTCCAGTTTTAATAATATCCTATAGGAGGCTAGCCAACCTGCCCTGAACTCAGTTCTGCCTCCGGGCTCGTCTTCTCAGCAGCCTGCTTGTTGGTGTGTGTCGTGCAGTGCAGTGGAGAAACCAGCACACTGACCTTGCTGCTGTGTTCAGTCCCACTCATTCAGGAAATGGAATCCAGAATCATGATCCCACTGAAGACCTCACCCCTACAGTAGAGCAGAGAATCCGTGTGCCTGCACGAGTCTGGGGACAGGCATGTCATAGATGAATTATGCATCGACGAGAGAGAAACACGGACGTGTAAGCTGCTGTACATAGCTTCTGAGAGACCTGCTCCTTACAACCCACATCATCTGTGAACGAGACACTGCCTCGGACTGGCTAGCAGGGCCAACCTCCCATGTCTGTCAAACCACCTGGCAGTACTGGCCACCTGCCCCTCTCTCCAGCAGCCCAGTCCAGATTAAAATTTGAATCATATCTGAATAAGATTCCACCCATGAAAAACATCCAGGCTTTGCTTTCTAAATAGCAAATCTGTTTTATAATTACAGATTTTGACAAATTTCTTGTATCAGGAAGAAATACAAATTTTGTCACGTTCCTGGAGCATTTTTTTCTGAGTCTCAAACTAGGAACAAATTACGAGTGTCCTAAACACCTGAAGCTATTAGCTTACCTGCATTTTTAGTCAGCAGAGTCAGCAGTGTAAGCACCGGGCTGTGGAAGCTGGGGTGCTTCAGTCAGTGGCTCAGGCTCCCATAGGGTGCAGTGATGTCTGCGGAGCGTGGCTTGACCTGTGTTGTGTGAACTTAAAGTGAACGCCTGGAATAGCACTAATTTTTATTTGTAATATTTTTCTATAAAACAAGCAGCACTTGGAATAGAGGTTTTATTTTGTGAACAATCACTTATGACCTGAGGCGCTGGGTTGGTATTTTAGTAAGCTCACAGAAGGCGCTCCCGAGGCCTTGCAGGAGGCCTGTTAGGTCTGAGTCAGCGTCCAGCTCACCCTTTGTCCTGCCTGTTGGGTTCAGTTGTTAAAGTAGTGTGCCAATTTTGTGACTGTAATCATGTGAAAGACCTGTTGAACTGAAAAATCATGTCTTCCCCACAAATTGAGGAATTTATGTGTAAAATAAAGTGTGAATAAATCTCATCAAATGTCAAAGTTTTACATGTGAATGGTTTTCTCCAAGAACATATAAAAGTCAATAAAATCCTCTTAGTTTTCTCATATTGTGTGTTTGTGATCTTATTTGTGTGGACTTGTGCAGAGAAAGACTTGTGCTGCTGTTAGGGGTTGTGCAGGAGGAGGAGCTGTGGCACAGAGCACCGCGGCTCCCACTGGACCCTTCTGCCTACCTGCACAGCTATTCACATCTGCTAGCTGGGGCCTGACCTGCAGATTGAGGAGAAAACACCTGCTCAGGCCTGCTCATGGAGTGTTGGTGAAACGACAGTTCTTCTTTTCCCATCTAAGTCCTTGAAAACCTGGAGGGTCCTCCCGCTATCCCTCCACCTGTGGAGTGCCTGGCCCAGGCCAGATGCTGAACTCATGTTGGCAGGATGTGTAGAGTAGAAGACGTGGAAAAGTGAGGTACTGCTAGTGCAGGTGATGTGGCTGCTCTGAGCTGGGAGGGGCTGCTGGAAACGGACAGTCACGTAGGAATTGCAAGGACTAACAGGTGCTGGGGTAAAAGGATCGTGAGCTTGAGGCCAACCTGAGCAACAGAGCAAGACCCCGTCTCAAAAACTAAAAATTAAGTTTAGAAAATTGTGAATTTGTAATGAAATGCTGTTTAGAGGCCATTCTCCCTGTGACCTCATTCGGTTCCCACCCACAGGCCACTGAGTTCCTGGAGAGTACCCCTCTACAGGTACCAGAGGGAACATGCAAAAGCCACATGATCTCTTGCTTCTGTCTCTTGATCTTGCTTCTGTAAAGGATCTTTCTGTTCAGAAAAGCAGGAAACAGAGTGACCCTCTGAAACGGAATACCCTCAGGATGCACCCTTTTCTGGGAACAGTCATCCTGCCCTAATCACAGGGCCTCACAGGGCAGCCTGAGACCTGGGTTTAGTCTTCATTCTGTTCAACAGATACTGAGCTTACCAGCAGGCAGGTTTGTTCACAAGGTGCTCAAGGCCCAGGTGCTCGGCCTTGAGCGCCTCGTGAACCAACCCACTTGCTGCTCTTGTGAAGGAGAGGAGACAGAGAAGGCTGGCAGTTAAGATTTAACAGCACTGTAAATAATTCACATGGTGGTAGAAGCTGATCAATAGTGTGCAGGAAGCACAGCGTGATGGAGGTGAAGTCTAAGGGTGGACTGGGATCAGGATGAGGTACCAAGAACACGGCCAAGGCACACTCACTAAAAGCTGAGACAAAGGATGGAAGACATGAAGATGCCAGCCGACATGGGGAAATGCCTCTGTGCCCAGAGTCACACCTAGTGTATGCTGAGCACAGTGGAGACCACTGCAGTGGAGCTGAGGAGAGGGAGTGCTGGGGGAGGTGACTCTGGTCAAGGGGTGGCCTCAGGAGGACCTTGACTTTTACCCTAAGCCAGAGGCTCCAAGCAGAGGTGAGGCATAACCAGACTTACATTTTAAATGGGGGCTTGGATGAGCAGTAGAAGTAGGGAGGAAATTCAGATTCTAAATGCCCTTTGATGGCAGAGCCACATGAGTTCCAGAAGAATCAACTGTGGAGTGCAAATGAAAGAGAAATCCAAAGTGCCCTAAGGTTCTGGCCTGAGGACCTAGAAAGATGGGGTAGGCTGCAGATGGAACAGATTAGGAAGCAAAAAGCAGGAATTCTGTCTAAATCACATTGAATTTAAGATCCCAGGCCTGTGCCCAGGTGGAGATGTCAGGAGGGATGTTGGTTCTGAATCTGGAATTCAGAAGTGTGGTCTGGCCTGAAGGCCACTCTTCCCATTGTCCGAACACAGAACTTCGGGTGAGACAGGGTGAGCTTACAAGGGAGTGATACAGATGGAGAGCCTGTTGGGTGTGTGGGAGACCCCCCTTCTCGTAGAACATCATGGAATCCCTTACCCCTCCTCCTCCTCTCCAAAGGGCGCCAAGCCAAGAGCACCAAATTCAAAGGTTTCCCCCACCAATCCCCACAGGACATAGTGTCTGCTCGCTGTTCCTGAGTCACCCTGCCAATCAGCACCCACCACATCCCCTATGCAACCCTTCTGAAGCCGAAGTTTCTAAGCACACGCTCTCTTCTCTCTCTCCTTCTTCCCTCTCTCTGCCCTCTTCCTCTCTGCCCTCCTCCTCTTCTTTCTCTCTCTCTTTCTGCCTTCCTCCTCTTCTCTCTCTGCTCTCTGCCTCTCCTTCAGGCAGCCCCCCAATAGAATCTCTTGGTTGAATCTCTGTCTCTCATGAGTCACTCACCTTTCAGAGCCCATGTGGGAAACCAGCAGGGAAGGCCAAGAAAGCACCAGGGAGAGGAGAACACTGAGAGGGCTACCTGAGGACAACTCCCCAGGTATAGGAGAGACAGCCCACTGGAAGCCACAGGCTGGGTCAGATGGGTCTGAAAACTCACCACTGACTTAGCAACATGGTGGTCACTGGTAACCCTCCACTCAAATGTTGTTATTAAACTGATTTATGAAACTATCTGTATCATGGCAATTCCCATCCAGATTGTCAAATCGTTTATTAAACTATTCCTACTGCTATCCAAACTCATCTTCTGTTCACTGGGTGTAAGTCTGGTGGTCATTGCATGAGCCAAGAAATTTCCAAGTACCATGCAGGAGGATGCTCTGGTCTGCTTCATAAAACAGGTGTCCCTTTCAGCTGGCATCACTGCCGCTGTGAAAAGCCCTGGTAGTGCATTCTTCCTTCCTTTCCTCTCAGCTACCCCTTGATAGAACCTGCCCCCTTTTTTCTTTTCACAACTGCCACAAAAGATCTTTTTTAAAATCATCTCCACATTATTATTTATTAAATTTATATTTTTGGTTTCTATCTAAAATATCAGAGATGTCCATTCAATAATATGTTAATGACTCAGTGGATGGGAGGGAAAGAGAAAGTATGGAGACTGGCAGTTCTTTGGGGTTTTTTTCCTTTGGTGCTTGTGATGAACCCAGACTTCATGCCTTGAGGTGAGTGCTCACCACTGACCCACACGCCTGACCACCATCAGTTCTACTTGAAAAAACACGCACTCAGAAGATGGGCAGTGTCTCTGTTCACACCACTTACAATCCAAGTTCTAAAGTGCTGATAAATTAGTGAGATGTCTAGGTAAACTCAAAAAAAAAAAAAAAAAAAAAAAACAAGTCAAAAGAGGATTAATATATAGAAATATGTTCAAAGTTGGGAAATGTGATCAGCAAAGAACCAAACCGTCCTCCATTTCTTGTACTTTGTCTTCAGAGTTTAGTGATCTTAAAAAAGAAAACCTGGGGCTGGGGTGTTGCTTAGGGGTAGAGCTCTGGCCTAGCATGTGCTGAGGCCAAAAGAAAAGGAAAGCCACTTGGCTCTTTGCTCCCCCTGCAGCCTGCAGAGGCCTGCTTGGTGGGCTGCTGGGTTGGGACTTGGGGCAGACAGAGGCCAAGCTGCCGGCTATGAACAAGGGCTCTGGAAGGGAAGGGAGCCCAGGGCTCTCCTTGGGGTTGCAGGTATTTGCCACCAAGAGGAAACACKCCCACGTGAACACACAAGGAGAGCACGGTGATGCCCAGCAGCAACCTAAGCGCCACCAGAGCCACCTCAGAAAGTGACTGGCGCCCTGCAGACAGTGGCAGGGACTGTGACAGCTTCCCGCTAAAGCCCTGCATGGAGTCCCTGCGCTGCCTCACCCCGCCAGGCCCCAAGCTAATGAAAGGTAAAAATGGAAGTGAGTCTGTGCTTTGTATTTGTTGTAGAAAATGAAAAAACTACCCGACTTCTCAGCAGAACAGGCCTTCCACTGGGGAGTGAGGTTTCATTTGCTGTTTCAACTCGATGATGCTCTGGTCAGTTCACTTGGGCTGGAGATGGTAAATCTTTAACTCTCCAATAGGCTCAGGGTGAAGGCTGCAGTGACACCACTGGCCKGGGCCGGGCTTGGGATGCGACCTCAGAGCAGCATTTTACTTTGGTGAGCAGTTTCCCAACTGTCAGGGGACAGCAGGAGCCACTGCTGATCGCAGAGCTGTGAGGAAGCATGGGGACACCTTGGGTGGGGCAGGACCTATGGCTCACAGGTGCCCCACTCCCAGGTTTCTGATCGCAAAGATCTACCCACACGAGCCCCGGCCTGGGAAGTGCAGCCACTGTGGGCCTCCCCACTGGCCTCCCAGACACTGACCTCCAGGCACAAGGCTGCCAGTTGGAGGCCAGTCTCAGCAACAAAATAAAGGGCTGGGGAGTAGCTTAGCTCCCAGGGTTCAATTCCCAGTATCAAAACCTACAGCCTCCACCCAATAGGAGACAGAGACTGTCAAAGCCTTGACCTGGGGAGAGCTGGCTGGGGAAGGGCGAAGGCACCCAGGCCTGCCTACAGTTTAGAACCAGGACCAATACCGATGACATAACATCTTCGGTTTCATAAACAGTTCTCATAGAGTGAATAAACGGTGTCATGAGAACAGGATACCACAGGACACTGCCGCCATCCTGTGCAGCCATCTAACTCCCAGGAATCCAGAATCAGAAGCAGGAGAGGGTGGCACGTTCTCGAGCTATTCCAAACTCAGCCTCCACAACAAAGACSCGATTGTCCAGACCGCCTTTGGTTTTGCTCAGCTGGCGCCATTAGGGAGGAGGGGCTGCGTGCTCTGCTCGACAAAAGGCTGCAAGTGGGCGTCGCGACTCCTGGACTCCTCGGCAGAGCAGAGCTGGGTSGCCCAGCGCCTACTGAAGCGCTGCCCCACGGAGGCAGCGCTGGTGGCAGCTCCCCACCCGTGCCGGAGCTTGCTCCTGCACAGGCAGCTCCGCAGCTGGGTGGCGGCAAAGGTGAGGCCACTGCAGAGCGGAGGCCGCGGCAGCCCCCAGGCCTGTAGGCCAGGTCCAGCCCAGAGCTCGCCGCTGGAGCCAGAGGCCAGAACAGCCCAGGCGAGGTGCCAGGGGCGCTCAACGCCTGCGATCGAGCTGCTGTTGGCAAGCCCGCTTCGTGCCGCTCCCACGGAGGTGGCTTTGAGGGCAGCTGCACTCATCTGACTTATCTAGCTACATAATTATTTGGCCAAACTTAATTATTTGGTCAAATTCTTCAAGTGAC